GCTCGTCCAATGTATTCCAAGTGTCCTGAGTGGGTAGCATCCATAATTTACTCGAAACGAAGTCATTTAGAATTATTTTTGAGCATAAACAGTAGTGTATAGGATTTCCTGAAAGCGCGCACCTGCGCGTTCATGACGCTATGGAAGCCGTCAGACCAAACCAGATGAAAGTGCGCATTCAGCGTCTGCTCTGCCAATAATGCAAGCGTAGAAGAAGAAATGTGCTGTTTACCTGTGCAAAGAAAGAAACAACGAAAGAAAAATGTCTGAGGACTTCAGTGTTGAGGAAGAGCATGAGTTCTTTGCCGAGCTGAATGCGCACTTTCGTCTGGTTTGGTCTGCTGCGGTTTCCGTAGACTCGTGAACGCGCTTTCAGGAAATCCTATACACTACTGTTTATGCTCTAAAAACAATCTACATGACTTTGTTTCGAGTAAATTCTGGATGCTACCCACTCAGGACACTTGGAATACATTGGACGAGCAGTATGGAGGAATATTGAAACGTTTTTTTGTTGACTTTTATGGACCTTTCTGCCTCGGGCACCATAGACCTCCATTATTTGAATGTCAGCAGACAGCAAGAAGCCTCCCAGATCTCCAGATGCATTTGAGATATCAAAAAAGTACTCCAGAGTGTTGTTCAGCATGGGGGTGAGTAGAAAATGAAGGCTAATCATGTTTTGGGTGTACTATTCCTTTAACGGTTCTACAGGATGCTGAAAGGTTCCAAAGGCTACAAAATTAGTTTCTAAAGGTCACACTGAGCCTGGTTCTGGTTCTGCTGGAGGTTTCTTCCTGTTTTCACTCCACTGCTGCTGCATCCTCTGTGAAAGATTGCTGTAAAGTGAACCTAATAGCTACTGTCTGTAAAGTCAGTGACTGGATGCAATCAGCTGGTTTTACCTTAGATAGCAAACCTTTAATCTGGCTTGATGATCTGACTGAACTAGATCTATAAAGAGCCCTTGTGCTTCATACATAAACTGGACTGAATAAAGGGTCTTCAGGCCTCTGAGGATCCAAACATACATTTTTTTAAGGACAGTAGATTAACTGGTCCAATTAATGAGACCATTTCAGAACTTACTAAATGGTTCTGGTTCTTGGTTCTGACGCAGTAAATCTAAAGCAGAACCAGAACCCACAGATCCACAGGCTGGTTCATCAGTCCGTCATGTCTGTAAAATACGGTGACCCTCTTCCTGGCAGCCCTCTGAATGCTCTGTGTTTCTCCTCCCCGTATCTAAACTGGTTAAACTGGGCTGTAACGGAGCTGTACTGGGATCCTTCTGAACGGCTCATTGAGCATCTCGGCACGTTTCGCCATGAAGCTGCAGGAACAACCAGACAGAGACTGGCTGGTTTCATCTTGCTCACTGATAACGACCAGAACTGGCGAGGAGGGTTTAGAACTGAGACATTTATGGAGCCATGAACCGGTTCATGGAAATTAAACCAGTACAGAGCTGGATCTCTCTCATTCCACATACGGTAGATGAGGAGGAGGTTTGCAGTAGCTTCAGGCTAGTCCTGGATTAACTCCAGGCCCCTGTGGTTCCCCTTTGGTCCAAAGAACAACGCATCATCAGCACCAGGGGAGCTTCAAACTCCTCCACCGCATGAAGGTGGATGGAGCGGGTTCTGGAGCGGGTTCCTGTAGCCTCCTAATCTGCCTCCTAATCTGAGGATGGTAAGGACCAACAGAACCAGATCAAGGATCCAAGTAATTCTATGGGATTCTTCTGCCTTAGAGATGGAGGAGCTTCTTCTTCACATCTAAAGTAGTTCGCGAAGGTTCCCCTGATGAGGAGGAGCATAGATGCCTCCATAATCAGATTTTCTATCCCCACTGCAAGGGGATTTAACTGGCGTGGGCTTGAGTATCCTGCAGTGCTTAGCCCTGAACGTCTCGAAGCCTTTAAAACACTCATAGCAACATTTCAGGCAGATTAGCAGAATGTAAATTTAATCCGTGACCTGAGCTCCAACTTTGGATCTGTGCATTATTAACGGAAGCTCAGGGAGGAAGAGGCGATCAGGAGAACTCAGACGGCAAACAGAGTTTCCTGTAAACATTAGAACATCTCAGCCCCAATAGGTCAAGTTTAGACCCCTCAGTGGTCCTGTGACCTCAGCCATGGGGTGGATGGGTCACCAACAAGATGGTGAGATGTTCCAGAGGCTCCTGAGATCACGGTCTCTGGAGCCTCCATTTGATTGGTGGACAATTATTCGAGAGATCCACGGAGATGGATGAAGATGGAGAACTGAAGCTGAGCTCATCTCTGCAGTTACATGGTTTACACTTCGCCCCCTGCTGGACAGAACCCTGCCTCCAGCTGTGCTGGTTGCTAGGAGACCAAAGGAATTTGCAAGCAACCAGTCAGACCGGCTGCTCTCAACTTCACTGATGAAGAAGAGGAAACGCCATTCATGGAGGAGAACTGTAGAACTGTTGGACCTCTGAGACCTCAGGCTGGTTATTACATGAAAGCCTTAGACTTAGACACTTAGAGACACTTAATCTGGGCACACACTGTGCGATATATTCAATCTTTACACGCAGCTACATCTCAATATAACCTTACGACGGACGACTGAATTTCAAACATCTTTAATTTTCTCCAGAGCTTATGATTCCTGATGGGGAGGTGGTCGTGAGAGGCTGATCACCCCTCGTTACCTGCTGTACACTACATGACTCACAATCAGGCTGAAAGACGGCCCGATCGAAACATTCTCGCATGACTGGAGAATTGGCCTGAAAAGGGTAAAAACATTTATTGTCATTTTGTATACACAGAGTGTATAAAAAGCAAAATTTCATTTTGTACAGCTCTCATGACATTTCCATTTCTTAAAGTGCAGCTGTTATCAAATGTAAACATTATGGGAGAAAAAAAATCATCTTGGAAAAAACACCGCATTGATAAAGTCACACTGCCTCCCTAACTTACCAGCAATAGAAGGTTTGTTTGAGATCAGCTCTCTTCATTGAGGTCTAAAGTCGCCCCTAAACAACAACACCCTTGGTAAAGAGCCCTATTGTCTATTAGCTGGACTGACCCAGTCTGTCCTCAAATTTACCACTTAATTCTGACTCCGAATCATGAGAAGATACAAATCCAACCCAAACAGATACTAACTTCTTCATCTCTACAAATTTCAATTCAGTTTATTTCTATAGCGCCAATTCACAACACACGGCATCTCAAGGCACTTTATAGTTCACCAGATCATCCAGTCAGATTGATTCAAAGTTTTCTATCTAAGGAAAACCAGTTGATTGCATCGACTCATTGACTCGAATGCAATCCCTCACACTAAAGGCTGATTTATACTCAGAAACCATGTCGTCTGCGTGTGTCGCAATGAACACAAATGTGTCTCCGCCCCTTCCACAGACACTCTGCTGCTCCTCTCCAAAATTGTAGGTGACCGCAGACAGGAGGCCTCTGATTGGTCAAATATACATCCGCTCTATCTGTATTTGCTGTTTGGTACCTTACCGGCTTGTTTTGTTTCTATGACCGCCATTGTGGAAAACAACTCGGGAAGATGGAGCAGCTAGAAGAGCGAGGTGTGTGAGAACGCTGGGACCCATTTTCCACCTGGATCCCTGCTCTTTCTCACCCTCATGTCCCTCCTTTGTTGCACAAACTTGCTCCAACTTCCTCACCGCCGCGGCCGGATCTAGACCCACAGCTAGTTCCTGATCGTCCTTCTTGCGTTGTGGCGTGGAATAACATAGCGCAGACCACGCTTCAATATTGGGCATAAATCAAAAATATCTGCAACAAGCTCACTGCGGCACACTGCTGCGGGAGGATAACCAGCCCTTAAGCATGCTTGCAGCGACAGTGGAGAGGAAAAACTCCCTTTTAACAGAAAGAAACTTCCAGCAGAACCAGGCTCAGTGTGAGCGGCCATCTGCTGAGGCCGACTGGGGTTCAAGGAGACAGAAGCAGAGATACAAAAGGCAACTGTAAAAGGCGGCCCCATCCAGGAAACACACAGCCAGGCAGACGAGCTCCGAGCCAGCTCCCATGTCAGAGGGTGAAGAGAGCACATCCAGTTAGTCACAGTCAGAGAAACAGGACTACACTGAAAAACAGACCGATCTCCAACATCTATAAACAAAGGTGTTGATGGCAGCAGCACAGCTGATATTTCTCTCCAGGATGGAGTCACAGCCAAACAAGAACAGACCAGATGAAGCTACTATGAGAAAAAGCAGTAAGTGAGAGCAGAACGTTAGAAATTGAACTAACAGATTCTGCAGAATAGGAGAATAGAGATAGAATGAAGGAGAATGATGAAATAGGGGGTATTTGAAGACTTTAAAATGAGCTTCAGGTCTGGTTTCGGACCAGCAGATCAGACCAAAGCTTCTGGTTTTCAACAAATGTTCATCCCAGTGAATAAACAAGAAAAAAGGGGAAAACTGGGAGACTGAATGTTCAGCAGCTGGAACTGATTCAGGATCATAGAAAACCAGCTGAGATGGGTGAGATAGGAGACAGGAAATTTAAAACCAAACCATCAGATAAAACCCAGAGCGGAGAGGGAGCTCATCCCTTCATCCATCCCAGCAAGCAGAACCTTCCCAGAATGAAGCATCCTCTAAACCAGCAGGACCAGAACCATGAGACAGGAACCCCCTCTGGATCCAGGTCCAGAACCAGGAGACAGGAACCCCCCCTCTGGATCCAGGTCCAGAACCAGGAGACAGGAACCCCCCTGTGGATCCAGCTACCCTCCTCCATCCCAGCGGGACACATGAGCTCTTCAGGGGTGGAAATGTTCCCTGGAAGCTGCAGGCAGGAATCCTCCTCAGATGGTGTCTAAGTGATTCTGACAGACATGCAGACCTCCGTCAGGCTGCAGCCGACTGACCCACTTTCTGCGGGACACAACGAGCTGCTGGCTGTCTGCACGGAGACCATCCACCCACAGACACGCGCACGGCTTCATTCGACCCAAACAGCGCTTCCTTACCTGGACCGAGCCCAGCAGGAGGGTGAGGATCAGCGGGGAGGGCATGCTGGCTGCCGGGCTGTGAGCGGCTCTCACCCCGGCCTGCAGCCTCTCGGTCTGCTGCGCATCCAAACAATGGCGCTGTTTCTGCCGCAGCGGCCCACGCTCCGCTGCGCTCTGTTCGCACTCACTCTGCGGCAGATTGGCTGCCGCGCACCTCTACCTGCGCAGCTTCACCCGGACCGGACCTGCTGGGAGAGAGGGGGAGCGGGCCGGGCTCCGGGATCCATCCCGCGGCCTGGAGACGAGCAGGAGGTCGATGTTGGTCTGCGGGGATGAAGCTGCTGCTGCGCGGCGTCGCCCCGCCCTGCGCTCCGGAGGCTGCACAGACACGCAGGTCCTCCTCCTCCTCCTCCTCTTCATCAGCAGTCAAACGCTAACAATAAAACAGGGGCGCCCCCAGGAATTTGGGGCCCCATGAACGACATTCATATGGGCCTCCACCATATGATAAATTTACACCTTATTGTAAAATTTCTACTAAGAAAAATTTTTAGAACATGAAAAGGTGAAATATACATTAACGTTAAAGTGCATAAACCGGTAGATAAAAACTTGGTCAGTTTATCCACCCTTTGTTTCACCGTTTACTGCTGAAAAATAAGGGAGAACACATATATTATTCATTTTACTGCTGGATTTTATTTTTATATTTGAAATATCTATTGTAATGTATCTTTTCTTCTTCTTTTGGGGCCCACCTCAATCAAGGGCCCTTCCTAACTTTTCTCCCCTGTGTTCAAATTCAAATCATTGTTAATCAAACATTTGATTCTGAACTGCCTCTCTTTTAAACCCACATCCAGCAGATCAGACCCTAAAATGTTTACTATTAATTATCTGAATTTATTGGTTTTAAAGTAAACTGAAGGGTTCATTAAAGATTAAGGACATAAACAGACATGTGTTGTTATTGTTTTGACCCATTTCTCCTAACAGAAAACTAACCAAACCTTTCAAGCCCCGCCCACTTTAGGTCTAGACTGAGTTCACTTTTGTGATCTCCATTCCAGAACCTGGCACTGTCCAAACAGGCGTGTTGCTGACAGTCGCTGTCCAGATGGTGACAGAGCTTTAGAGGAAAAGTCTGGTCTTATTCAGAATACAAACTTTTGAAAGTACTTTAAATATGAAAATATTACAAACTGTTTAATAAATGTGTTTTTAATTAAGAGTAATTTTCATTTGAATGTGCTTCACTGGCGGCATCCAGTGCGCCAGTGCCATTTTTTGGCCCCAATACCTGGCTGTTCAGTATTGGCTGATACCATCTGTTTGAAATTGATGTGTGTGTTTATATGAAGATCTGCTTACTGCTTGGATATAAATAATTGCCATCATGGCTTTGAAGAGGGAGGATTTGCTATCAAACTTCTGGCCAGAGAAAAAACATGTAATATGGTGACAATAGTCGAATAAACCTTTGGCTCTCAAAATGATGTCAGTGCCCTATTTGTTTATTGCAGATGTGTCTAGTAGTTCTCATTGATTTTGCTTGTAAAGCGGGGAGTATGGAGCTAGGCTTACCGCACCGTGATGTCACTGCTGGAAGATGGCAGGAGGGAGGGGTTACTATATTTGGGTAAAAATGGCTCCTCCCAGAGTCCTGCAAACGTATTAGTTTTAGGTATAAATAATGATCCATTGATTATTCCTTGCTGACCAGACTTTTCCTGCTGCTAGTTTACTGCTTCAAGATTTCCACTTATTGTCCTTTATTCTGTGAACCAGTCTCTGGCATGGGGGAGGCTGCATCATGCTGAGGGATCCCTCATGATTGTCCTCATTGACAATCCTCTTTTGTTCTTCTGGTTTTTTGTTGCTATATTTAGGGAGTTTTCAGACCCCTCTAGCACTTTTATTTCAAAAAAGCACCTAGCGCCAAATCTAGCGACTTTTTTCTGCTACTGGAGAATTTGGTGACAACATCTAAAAGCAGCGAACTCTGCTCTCCAGAGTGAGTAGATTGGTAACCCCGCCTCCTGCTCTCCTCTATCTTGTCTGCTGTCATGATTTATGCAGCTATTATTTCATCCAAATGAAAAATGGAGAACAGAGAAGCAGATCATGGCTTGTCTACAGTGAAAAGAAGGACTGGGTTATTTACTTTGGCCTTTTTGGAAACAAAGGAAGGAGCAATCAGCTAAGTGAGCTTAGTGCTTGGAAAAAATCTTTCATTCCTTTAGAGACAGCATGAAAAGTCAGCTGAGTACAAAACATAGAGAGGAAAATGGACAAGAAGAGAGGGACAAAACCTAGAATAAATAATGTATGTCTATTCTATTAAAGTTTCTCTATCTGTATAATGGGTCTGTTTTATGTATTGATTTCTCAGTTCAGAGGGGCCCCTGCCTGTCTTTGCCTAGGGCCCCAAATTTCCTAAATCCGCCCCTGGTTCCAACTGTTAATCAGCTCAACTATCTGAAAAGCTGGAGGCATCTTGAAATGTGTGGCTGGAAATAAACCAGCTGCTCTTTCTCCTAAGGGATGCTGCAGGGTCACATTTCACCAGCAGGGGTCAGAGTTGTTCTATTTAAACTGCAGTTTTTCCATCATTCAAACTGAGCACAATCATATTTTAAAACCAATAAATATTAAATTCATCATCACTGAATGGGGACCTTTCAACCTCCAGCCAACGGCTACGGATCCTAAGAGTTCAAGTAAAGCAAAAGCATACGGAAATAAAGTTTATTTTCCTCCGGAGACCAGACAGGTGCTCTGTCAGATGAATATACCCATAGTCAATACCCATTTATCTCTTTAGTTTATCCTTTTAGTTTTTTACAAAAAAAAATAAATTTTGAACAACCTCTGCGAACGTGTATCCATAGGCGGTTCTAGGCCGTGGCCAACAGGGGCCAGAGCCCCCGGAGAACGGATCCTGGCCCCTGTATTTAAAACCTACAAAAAAAAAAAAATGTAATAATAAAATAAAAGTATTTTCTTGAAAAGGGATGTATTTTGCCTCAATTTGAGCAGGTAGGTATGACATTTCCTAATGTAATAAGATGATTTCAATTTAATAAAAAAAAATCATCTTATTTTGCGGCTAAAATTTAATTTTCTTTGGAAATCATTTTATTTATCCGCTCATTTTAACAAGTTTTTACATTTTAGATCACTTTTTGCTTTGTCATACAAAATAAGACATGATAATATGCTTAGTGTATCCATCTCCAAACCAGACTCTGATTAGATGGAAAATCTTTGCAGCATGTAACTGCTGCTAATTGGTGAATTTAATGATTCGCGTTTATAATTTACTAAAAAAAAAATGCAATCACATTAAAACTTCAGCCATATTAAGATACAAGCAGGTTTTCATCGTCATTATTTTTGTTCTGTGTCCCCATTAAAAACAGTTTCTCCGCCGGTAAATTTCATCTAGAAGGCCAAAAAAGGATACTGGAAGAGTTTTGGCTGTAAATTCAAACAGGTGTAGCCTTCGGCGGCCCTCACCGCCCCACGTAACGACTCTGTATGCCAGTGAAATGCGACCGCAAATCAGATGTCTCACAGCGACAGATCTGATGATGTTACACTGAGAGGCAGGACACAGGAGCAAAGGGAGAGACAAAGACTCCAAACGCTCTGAACACAGATAGCTGCACCCAACTCTGTTACCTTTGGCTAAAGAAAATGAGCATAAATGGAAATAAGTGTAAATTATTGATGGGGACATGTCAACACCAGTCCTTAAGAAAATCCTTCTGTGTGGGGATTCAGGACTTGCTTGGTTCTCAGGTTCTGAAGGGTCCAGCCAAACCTTGTGAGTCCACCTTAAATCCTGCGGGACAGGAACTGGTCCTTAAGAACCTCTTCCTCCTTTTCCACGTGTGGCGCTGCTGTTTTTAGACACAAAGGCCTCTCAGGCAGTTTTCTCTGAAGAAATCCAACCGGTTTTTCAGAACCTAATCTGGGTCGAATTCCAGGAACAACTGGGAAAAAAAAAAAAATCAGAAAAGACGTGAGGAGGAATAAAAAGTCCCGATTGTTCAGAACATGCGTCCCTGCAGGAATTCTGGTTCTTATCAGGCCCACTCGGCTCTTTGGATCCAGAAATCTCTTCCCGTCTGGATTAATCCCAGCAGGAGCATCGCTGGCCTGCAGGGGAACTTCCAGATGTTACAGATCCTCTTTTAGAAATCACACTCTGAATAAAATGGACATTTCTAAATTCAATAAAAAAAAAAAGCTTCTATTTTTCAGAACATACATCTTTAATGAAACATTATTGTCAGTAATGGACATTAATTAAATGTTATTGACACATCATTTTTAGAGTAAAGAACCAATAAAAAAACATTTATAAAAATAAGCACCCTCTGAGGAGAACCCTGAAAAATATAAAACATTCCCAGAAGAAAATGCAAAATAAAGCAAAAAGCATCAATAAAGTACGGAAGTGTATTGCATTCACCAAAGAAAATAAAATCAGACAGCTTATCTCATAAGTACGAGATCAGTATCTCGTTATGCGAGTTTATCTCGTAATTATGAGATTATGGAAAGGGGAGATGATCAGGAATGATCCATGTTTCCTGAGCCATGATGATGAGCAGTTCTCAGCTGATCAGGAACCACAGAGCTTTGCTTTGGATCTGTGTGCTGAACGGGTCCAGTAAACTGATCTCTATTCACTGGATTGCTGATTGGCCTAAAAAAGTGAATCCACCAGCTGCCATGTTGGTACTCCCCACTCTCACAGAGTTTTGCAGTAAAAATGCCTTCCTGTGTAGCATTGGGCTGCAAAAACAAGCAGTTTACCGCCTGTGGGAAGACAGTCAGGGGATGAACTTACTAAGAAAATTAATATATACACCAATGTATTCTATAGTATAGTATGTAGTGTAACATTAGTCTGGCTATCTCTGACTGACTGGAAGATATTGACTAAATTAGCCATCAAGATTGCGTCTAATGTTAGAAAATAGAAAGTAGAATAAATAGAAAGTAATTTACCATGAAATGGCAAAGTATTAATTCATTATTAAGTGGGTGATGCTGTAGTTTTTGTAGAGTTTGTTGTGTTTCTCATTTGAAAAAGTCATATATCGGATCTTATATTGATGAAAAAAACTCAAAGATTTTTAAAGGCTAATGCACAGACTCAGCAATAAAGTATCTGGCATCATACAAGCATAATTTGCCAATGTAAAAATACTATAGAATTAACAGATGTGCTTTTAATTCAGTCTTGATGTAAAATCTTGAAATCATGTGTAAGATATAATTACCATAACAATGTAATAAATACATGTATATTACATGTACATCATCAGTTTATCATTTTTGAAACATCTGTATTATTATTATGCTCCATTAATACATTAATTTACTTGTGATGGATTTGTTTAATATGTTATAATACATGATTTAGAGATTTAATTGACTTCATAATGACAAAGCAATGTGAAGTTAAATTAATCTACTGATGCTATGAAACAGCCAGAGTGTCAAAGTGATGAATTTATCTTTATTTTAAAAGTCTTAAATCCCCCTGAAAATGACATCAATGTTCAACATCATGCAGTTTTTACATTGCAACCGGTCTAATTAGGGAGTACCAATATGGCGGCTTCACTTCATCCCGTACTACTATCAGTAATCCAGTGAATAACTAGAGATCAGTGGTCCTGTATCAGACAGACCGACCCATTAGAACTATACCATCCCTCTTCATGGCGTAGATTAAAGCCTTTAAATTAAATGTTATTTATTTTATTCCCTTGCCAAATTTTCTGACACTTATTTACTTAAATGACTAAGTTAGTCATTTGTTATAAGTATATAAGTGTATTTTTCTTATTTTAATTTACTGAAGTGAAAATAATTCTGAGAATTGATAATATTTATGGGTGAATTTATAAATCTGAGATGAGATAATCTGATCATTCTGTCAATCAGACTCTGAAGATCTCATTAATAATACTTCCTTTCATTTACATCACTCACACCGACAGCTCAGTTACACCGAGCCTATTCTGCTCCAATTGGATGTGGTTGCCATAGTAACCACAAAACAACGATCGGCTGTCTCATTTATATACCCAATAACATTCATGCATTGCTTTGATGGACTATTTATGGCTGGATGTGAGGAGCAGCCTTGGACCCAAACTGAGGTCTAGATGGGGTAAATAAAGGCATATTTAGGCATATTCACCTCCATGGTTTATAAATCAGGATTTGTTCACCTCCGTGCTTTAAAAATCAGGACCTGTGCATCAGCATGGTTTATAAATCCACATTTGTGCATCAGCATGGTTTATAAATCAGGATTTGTGAGTCAGAATTTTTTATAAATCAGGATCTGTGCATCAGCATGGTTTATAAATCAGGATTTGTGCTTTTCCATTGTTTATAAATCAGGATTTGTGCTTTTCCATGGTTTATAAATCAGGATTTGTTTACCTCCGTGGTTTATCAGAATTTGTGCATTAGCATGGTTTATAAATCCAGATTTGTTCACCTCAGTGGTTTATAAATCAAATTTGTTCACCTCTATGGTTTATATATCCGGATTTGTTCACCTCAGTGGTTTATAAATCAAGATCTGTGCATCAGCATGGTTTGTAAATCCGCATTTGTGCTTTTCCATGGTTTATAAATCAGGATTTGTTCACCTCTGTGGTTTATCAGAATTTGTACATCAGTATGGTTTATAAATCCAGATTTGTTAACCTATATGGTTTATAAATCAGGATTTGTTCACCTCTGTCGTCCTATAATTCTCTTCTTGACGACTTAAAATTGAAGCTAAGTTTTATAAAAATTCAAAGTTCTTAAAAAGCAGAAAAAGTCTCAGACAAAGATCAAAAAATTCAGACAGATGGCAGCTGAGTCCGGGTCCAGTGTTTATTGCTAAACACTACATATTTACACAGAGCTGGTGAGCCGAAGCTGACAAATGGTGAAACCAGCTCCCTTTTATACATTTCTTTATCGGTGGAAAAACCCCCTTCAGAACATATTTCAGTCATTGGTAAAGGTCACATTGATATTTATCTGCAAAACACGGTGACATTCATATACACATCTCATTCTTGTGAGAGCACTCTCTCAGGCCATGAAAACATCTGGTGCATTCAAATCAGAAACTTATGACGGTTTAGTCAAAAACATTACAGCTCTTGCTTCAGGTCACGTCAGACGACCATA